CATTTTGCAGAATCTCTAGTTTCTTTTCACTTGTCTGATCTTTACTTGAGGTCTCTAGAGCAGGCTCTCCCCAACCCACCTTTCTTACTCTACCTTCCCCTGCGAATGTGGTTAAGTCCTTTCCTGGGGACTCATCCTTGTGTGTTTCTCTCTTCAGCTGGCTATGAAGGGTCCCCCCGGTGCCATGGGCCTCACAGGCCGGCCTGGGCCACTGGTGAGTAGCCACTATTATTTCAAATGTCCCATGAAGTATTCTTTTCTCTGATCTGATTCTTTTCTCTGTGTGTCTGGGATATGAGTATATATGGGGGGGGGATTGGCAGGGGGAGATGATAACTAAGAGAGCAAACCTAAGCAGATCTATTCAGAATCCTATTCTGAACAGACCTGAATCCTAGTCTGAGTAGAATGTGGCTTACAGCCAGGAAAGATTGCAGCTATAAATAACAGCATTTGTTTTTCTGAGTGTTAAAAAACAAATCATAGGGGAATATGGGAAAAGGCATATTGGTGTTTCTCTCTCTTCTAGGGCTAATCGAGAGGCATTTACCATAGTCCAGTGATGGCGAACCTTTTAGAGACCGAGTGCCCAAACTGCGACCCAAAACCCACTTATTTATCGCAAAGTGCCAACACGGCAATTTAACCTGAATACTGAGGTTTTACTTTAGAAAAAACAACTCATACATTAACTTAAGATGATCCAAACAAAGTAAGGAAAGCAATCCCAAATGCTTTCATTTGCTTAAAATTATTTGGCAGAGAATTTGACACTTTAATGATGGTCTGGGCTTGGCTGGGGTGATGGCACGCGTGCCCACAGAGAGGGCTCTGAGTGCCACCTCTGGCACCCGTGCCATAGGTTCGCCACCACTGCCATAGTCTGTGCCTCCTTAGGTTTGTCTGTTCTACACCTTGGGGGCCAAATGAGTTGTAGAAATTTGGCCAATGCTGAAAACAGCCACCACATATCTAGCTCATGCCTCCCTCTCCAAGCTGGCTTCTTTCATGTGACATCACAATGCTTTGTGCACGGCCCCCTGCCAGCAGCAACCAGTAATATGGACCAGGGAAATGTGATGTCACTGGGAGCAGCCCTGTATTGAGTCAGGACATTCGTCTGTCAAAGTCAGGATTACCTCTTCTGAGGCAGTGGCTCTCCAAGGTCTCAGGTGGAGGTCTCCCACATCACCTCTTACCTGACCCTTTTTAACTGGAGATCCTGGGGATCGAACCTGGGACTGTCTGTATGCCAAAAGATGCTCTATCTTGAGTCACATGCCCCTTTCCCTAATCATATTCTCAAACAACTTAAGTTTTACTCCCACTTACAGAGGGAGAGGGCAGAGCTAGCAATCTGGTTCCTGTTCTAGATGTCAGATGTTTAGTGTATAACATAACAACTGGTTGGGCCCTGACCAGCTTTCATCTGGAAAAACTGATTTCCCCCCCCTCTCGGAATATCCATGTATTGTTCTGTTTTTGATCTGGAGAGTAATGGAAGGATTAAATGTTTTTTTTTTTTTTGTAGGGTCTGCCGGGAAATCCGGGATTGAAAGGAGATGCAGGTGACGCAGGACCACAGGTTGGTTGATGAAGATAAAGGTCTGAACTCTGCCTGGAAGATGGATCAGGGAGATACCAATTGGGAATCCAGGCTCTGAGATTTCATTTTTTTTTCCTTCCTAACACAGCAGACAAATCTCTATTCCCCCTGTGCAATTTAAACCTGTAACCCTGTCAAGAGACAGGAAGTTCTTCCTCATCTTTTCATGTCTGGCTTGTGGTGAGAGCCTCAGATTCACTTAACCTTTTAAATCTTACAGGCCTGTTTCTGTTCGTTTATCTTCATAACCCACTTAATGGCCAAACCCTCTCCCCTCCCCCACACCCAACAGAACAATATAAAAAATATCCAAACTTAAAAAAAAAGAATTCTAAAACAAGAATAAAGTTAAGCACCAGCCCAAATAATAAAAAGCCAGTTTCAATATAAAACACAGGGTTTTAATCCTCTCTAAAAAATCTTGATCAGCCTTCAGAATACAAGGGAGCCAGTTAGTCTGCTGAGTCTTTCTGTGCCATGGAATGGAAATGGGGGAAAGGCCACAACAGAGAAATCCCTCTGGCGTAGGGTTGCCAACTCCGAGTTGGGAAATCCCTGGAGATTTGGGGCATGGGACCTAAGGAGAGTGGGGCTTAGGGGAAGGGAGGGACCTCAGTGGACTGTAATACCATAAAGTCTCTGTACTTTGGAGGTCAGTTGTAATTGCAGGAGATCTCCAGCCCCCCGCCTGGGGATTGGCAACCCTACTGTGGTAGTCACCTGCAGCACTTGATCAGGCAGAGGGACCTAGAGCAGACCTTCTTTCATGGACCTTCTGGTACGTGAAGAAGTATATCGGTTCTCCTTTTGATCTCCAGGGTGCAAGCAGTTTATAGGTGAATAGCAACATTTTGAACTGCTCCAGGTCCTCCTTCACAGCCAGCGCAGCTGTTTGTGAGCTGGAGTATTCTGCTGACTGCCCCCAGGACTGTAGTCTACTGCAATAATAACTCTAGATAACATCTTGCCTTTCTTGCATTGTCTTTACAGTTCCACTTTCTGCGCTGTACAGTATACCTTGCTTTATTTATAGTTAAAACATTTATTAGCCGACTTGCTTAGGGAGCTCAAGGCAGCTTACAGCAGAGATAAAACACATAAAATTAAAACTCATTAAAAACAAAACAAAACAAACAAACTTTAAAATCACAACTCAGAATGGCTAGTAAACTTAACCAAATGTGGTCCTAAATCAAAACCGTCTTCAACTGTCTCCTAAAGATCGAAAATGAGGGGGCCAGGCTCACCTCCCTGGGGTTCTTCCATAATCGTGGGGCTGCCACTGAAAAGGCCCTGTCTTGTGCACTCACCAAACGAACATGTTTGATTGATGGGACACATAGGAGGGTTTGTCCCTGTGATCTTAATTCCATTACAAGAACATATGAGAGAAGATGGTTCTTCGGGTACCCAGTCCCAAGCTATGTAGGGTTTTAAAGGTCAAAACCAACACCTTGAGTGGAGACTGGGTGTGGATTGGTAGCCATGCAATTGCTATAATATTGGGGTCACATGTCCCCAATAGCTGGCCCTGACCAGCAGTCTAGCTGCAGCATTCTGCACTAGCTGCAGCCTCCAAACACTCTTCAAGGGTAGCCCCAAGTAGTGTGCATTGCAGTAGTCCAGTCTAGATGTAACTAAGGCATGCATCACTGTGGCTAGATCTGACTGACCCAGGAAAAGACAGAATTGGTGCACCAGCTGAAGGTGGGCAAAAGCACTCCGAACCCTGCAAGTGACTGTTGTGTCAAGTGGCACTCCCAAGCTGTGAGCCTGGCTTTTCAAGGGATGTATAACCCCATTCAAGAATGGAGAGATCTCAAGTCACAGGTCTGCTTTTCTACTAACCCAGAGAACCTCTGGCCTGTCAGGACTTACTTTAGGCAGTTTGTTGTTTGCATTATCTTCTAATTCTCTAATCCCAATCCTATTGCATTGTTCCCTGGTTATCTTATGCTGTATGACGGCATTATTTTTTATTATATAATCTCCCTTGCCTCTCAGTGAGAAAGGTGGGCTATAACTAAAGTAAATAAATCAATAGCGCCAGTCAGCAACTTGAACCCCAACCCCACTATCTAGACCAATGGTGGTTTCTAGATACTTGTGCTGGGCTGGTACTATTGGGATATTTGGTTAATACAGCAGAGTTTTGCCCAGTCACAGAAGCACAATAGTGAGTGAAGTAAATAAATTCCCCAAGAAGTATAGTGCAAAAGGTAATAACGTACATTTATTCAGGTGGATCTAGATCACATTCAGGTTGTAGTCACAAGAAGAGAAAGAAACCTAATCTAAAGAGCACTTTCCTTATGACAAATGGGCAGCTTGTCTGGCATCTGGTGTGTGGGAGTTTGAGGGCAGAGTTTTACAGGAGAGACCCACAGAGATGTGTCTCCATGGAAGGCCATGTGTAGAAATTGAGAAGACAAAGGGAGAGAGGAGGAGGGGCCAGAAGGCAGCTTCCAGGTTAAGACAAAGGGAGGCATCCCATTCAAGGATATAACACCTATACACCCTTAGAGTGATATAGGCCCCCCCAATGTCCAGGCATGCTGAGTCGCTCACTACAACTGGTACATCTAGTAAATACAAAAATATGATAAATGTCACCTTATTTTCAAGAGGGCATTTGTAACATTGGACACTATTTTTTCAATCGTATGGGGTGTGCAAAAATAAATAAATAAAAAATCGGCCTGATTGGGATGTGGCCAAATCGGGCAGAATCAATTTTGGCTGGCAGAAAGACTCCCGCATGTCAATTTCGGCAGTAGAAGCCGAATGTCAATTTCAAGTTACTTTTTCCCCACCATAGAGAACAATGGAGGGGATGGGGGCAACCTGTTTGGGGGTCCGTAGAATTGGACCCCCTGGTCCAATGTTCTTGAAACTTGGTGGGTATCTTGAGGAGGGGCTCCAGCAACTACCCTGCGAGTTTGGAGCCTCTCCCTCAAACTCCATCCCCTCCCCCCAGAATATACCCTATGTTTTCGTCATTGACTTCAATGGCCCATAGGATATAATGGGGCCAAATTTGGCGGCAATTCGGTGGCAAGCTGATTCAGATCAGAGAATCTGAATTGGCCTGCAGCAACCCGAAAGGGGCCCGAAAATAAGGTGACATCCCTATTGTGGAAATAAAGCTGGGGGAAGCAGAGTCACATGTGAGGCACCTCAAATCTTTCAGCTGTTTTTCTTTTCTTTTTGTAGGGTCCTCCAGGGATAATCGGGCCGGTTGGTTTCCCAGGGAAAACTGGCAAGCGGGTAAGCATTGCTGCCCCTCTCCCATCCATGGCTGAGCAGTGCTCCTACATATCGCATTCTTGACCTTCACCTTCTCCTTTTCTTTTGTCCACAGGGTCGCTCAGGAGCCGATGGTGCCAGAGGATTGCCGGGGGAAACTGGACCAAAGGTTTCTAGATGATCATCACTAATCTTATTTATATCCTACTTTTCTCCTTGATCAGGGACTGAAAGTACTTTTTCAGATAGCCCCTCTCCCCTCCTTCCCTGTTAATCCTCACTACAACAACTAAGAGGTTAGAAAAGAGCAAGAGTCCAGTAGCACCTTAAAGACTAACAAAATTTGTTGCAGGATATGTGCTTTCGTGAATCACTGCTCACTTGTTCAGATACTGCGTGAGGTTAGGTTAGGCAGAGAGATTGTGATGGGCCTATGGTCACCTGGCTGGCTCCCATGGTGGAGTGAGGGATTCAAACCCCGTTGTCCCAAGTTCTAGTCCTACACTCTGCTCTCTACACCACACCAGCCCTCAGATGGAGTCGATGTGGGAGGGAGGGAATCTTCTGAGATTCCTAATTCAGGGCTTTCTTCAGTGACAGGGCTATGTGCCACTGGTAGGGCTGAGCCAGAGGTTTGTAAGTTTCTTTTTTCTTTTTGCAAATATTAATTGGGGAGACTTTTGCATCAAACAGGGCTGCAGACCACATGGCAACGAAATTGTGCCTCTCCATTTTGTCCAAATTTTTGGATCAAAAGTGCTGCTAACAAGGACCTGTGGAGGACATAAGGAGAACCCTGCCAGATTGCCCCCAGGGTCCATCTAGTCCAGCACTCTGTTTCCACTGGTGGCCAGATCTGGAAAGCCCAAAAGATGGATTTGAAGGCAACAAGCCTTCTCTACACCCCTCCCCTTTTGCTCTCAGCTTCGGGTATTCAGAGTTCTGTTGCCTTTGAAATGGGAGGAAACCCTTCCCCCAAGGCTTCTGGACTAACTCAAGGAATCCTCAAGTTCCCTGTTTCCAAGGCTTTCTTTGGTGTTGTGGTTAGGAGCATGGACTCTAATCCGGGAGAAGTGGGTTTGATTCCCCACTCCTGCACATGTAGCTGCTGGTGTGACCTTGGGTCAGTCATAAGTTCTTTCAGAGCTGTTCTCTCAAGAGCAGCTCTTGAAAGAGCTATCTCAGGCCCACCTACCTCACAGGGTGTCTGTTGTGGGGATGGTAAGGGAAAGGAGGTTGTAAGCCGCTCTGAGACTCCTTTGAGTAGCAAAGGGCGGGGTATAAAACCAATCTCCTCCTCCTCCTCTTCTTCTTCTTCATCATCATCATTTTAATTTAAGAGCTATCTCAGCTTTCTGAAGGCTTAAAAGGTGGTGGTATGACTGTGAGGCGAGGGGCTGTGGCTCACTGGAAGAGCCTCTGCTTGGCACGCAGAAGTTCCCAGGTTCAGTCCCTGGCATCTCCAGTTAAAAGGACCAGACAGTAGGTGATGTGAAAGGCCTCTGCCTCAGACTCTGGAGAGCTGCTGCCAGTCTGAGTAAACAGCACTGGCTTTGGTGGATGCATGATCTGATTCAGTATAAGGCAGCTTGATGTGTGCTCATGACAACCCCCCTGGTTCTTTGGAGCTTACTTTACAGCTTCCTGCTCTGACCTAGATAGTCCAGGTTAGCCTGATCTCTTCAGATTTCGGAAGCTAACCTGGGTTCACCCTGGTTGGTACTTGAACAGGAGACTACCAAAGGAGTCCGGGGTTGCTATGTGAAGGCAGGTAATGGCAAACTGCTTCTGTTGCTGTTCTGGCTTGAAAACCCCCATGAAGGGTCACCATAAGTCTGCTGGGACTTGACAGCAAAGCAGAACGAACCACAGTTTCCTGTGAGTGGTCCCTTATATTCAGGAGACACCCCCCCCCCAAAAAAAAGACCCTGAGAAATTTTCAAGGCACCTGTTCATAGAACATCAAAAAAGAAGAAGTGCTTTTTAAAATAGTAATTAATATTTACACAGTTTAATCTCAGCTCTCTGTGTGAAGAAGAAAAATTAAATATGATCGAGGGTTGTGGGTACCCCCCCCCCGGAGTATGGATTCTTCTTCTGGCTGTAAGGCTGAGATGTCTTTTGTTGGTGTCTAATTCTGCGTGCTTCTTACTAATAGGGTGACCGAGGTTTTGATGGACTTCCGGGACTTCCTGGTGAGAAGGGGAACAAAGTAAGTAAGCCCATCTAGTCGTGGTACCACCTAAGGCTATTTATCCACGGTGGCATCTCTCTTTACTCCTCACTTTACCTCTTACAGGGAGAAGTAGGGAAGCCAGGCCCACCTGGAGCTCCTGGTGAGAATGGAGCTAAGGTAAGCATTAATTCCAGGCAAGGATGGGGGGAAAGAGATAAACGGGAGCTGTGTGGCTTACGTACAGGTTAGGCCATTATCTTTCAAGGGCTCATTTTTCCTAGGCTATGCAAAAGAGCATTATTCCCTAGAAAGACACAGAAATGGCTCTGAATTTAATTACACCAGCCAGAACGATTATAGCTCGATATTAGGCAAATGAGAACATTAAAATTAAAAAATTATCTGTAAGAGGCTGGCACACGGTTAACCATTCTCAGTATCTTCCTCCGCAAAGTGCGGATGCAACAGAAGCTTTGTGTGAGCCGCAGGTCCAAATCCAGTCCTGTATGTGTATTTTACTTTTTTCCAGACTTATGGGAATCTGTGATCTTCAATGCATCTCTTTTGGTCCTGTGTGCCTCAGGACATGGCCCGAATCCTCTGTAATCCACAGGGATCCCATGGTAGACAGGTGACCCTTAACAGATGGGTCAATGTGAAAAGATCCCCAGTGACTGAAATGCTTAAAAACAAGACAAGAAATATTCCTCTTAGTATGTTATAACTGTTTGGGGGTGGCTATCATCCATAGCAGCTGTCCTCAACCCAATGGATCTGTACTCTCAGGTGGGTTGTGTATCCCTACCTGCCAGACTCTGAGTCAGAGTTCCTTCTAAGCTGCACTAGGAGGTGCTGGTGCACAAAATTTTAGCTCCAGCTCAGGGATTTTAAGCTTCTGCTCACACTAAGGCATTTTTTTCATCCTTTAGAAACAATGGAGGATGGGGGAACCTACTTCTGGGGCTCATAGAATTGGAACCCCCTGGTTTGTTTGAGGGGGTTTGTTTGAGGAGATTTGGTGCCTCTATCTTAAAAAAAAGCCCCCCCCAGAGCACCAGATACCCCCGGATCCATTCTCCATTATTCCCTACTAGGAAGAATGCCCGTTGTGGAACTGAAGACAACGGGGGCGCTAGCCTGGTCGCGGGTGCGGGTCGCCGTCTCCATCTGGCTCCCCCATGGCAAAGCTGGCTGTCCTGCCCCGCACGGTCGAGGCTCCAGCGGGGGAAGCCGGCCAGGCTCTCCCTGCAATGGGTACGAACTGGGTGCAGGGCACCATCCACTTCCCGCCCCCCCCAACTCAGGGAAGCAGCCCGCATTTCCCCTTGCAGGGTCGAGGCCCCGGCGTGCCAGGGTGCCTGGGTTGTCCGCTCCTGCCACCACCCCCGGCCGAGCGAGGCCCCAGTGGGGCAAGTGGACCAGGCTCGTCCCTCTCCCTGCAATGGGCGGCAGCTTGGGCAGCCAGCTGCGGGCCTGCGTCTCCTTCCCTGGACCCCTCTCCTCGGCCCTCCCTCCGCGCGCAAGGCCCCGGTGGGCCAAGCCGCCTGGCCTCGTCCGTCCCTGACATGGGGCGATGAGACAGGCTGGGCCTGGCTCCCTGGCCGGCCTCAGGCGCGGTGGCATGGTGCCATCTCCCCTCATCCACAGATCGCACAAAGGAGGCATGAGGGAACAGGCCGCTGCCGCCTCCCCGCTTGGCCACCCCCAGTGCCTTTCCAGGCGGCTGGGCGGAGCCAGCACATGTCGGCCTGGGCCTCCTCTTGGCTGGTGGCGGCTCCTGGCTGCCGCGGCTCAGCAGCAGTGGCATGGCCGCGTCTGGGGCTTGCAGTCCGAGTGAGGGTGTCTGACCAGTGGAGCACCCGGCCCGGGCCGCGGCTCGGAGGAAACTGAGGGCAAAAGGGTGGTCGCTGCCTCCGTGGGCGGGAGGACACCCACACAGGCAGCAGCACAGCGAATGGAGAGAGACGCCCTGTGAGTGACACACCAGGGTGCCAACCAACTCCGGAGCGTGTGGAATGTTCTAGAGAAGTGCCACCACCATTCGGCTTTTATTTATAAGGGAGATAGGGCTCAATGACTATAATGGCCCCCATAGGCTATAATGGAGCCTGAAAAAATAAAATAAAAATTTGCACACCTGTTATACTTTTCAGTATGATCTGTAAGGTGCCTTGAGTTTGGGCAGGTTGATAACATTTAAGCAAATTCCTGTTTGTTAGGTTAGACAGGGTTCTGACTGTGATTATTCCACCTCTACTGTACTTGAGCTGTAATTTGTCATATTTCACTAAAAAAACACAAAGTAGACTGCAAGAGTTTCCCGCTCCCAAGTGCTGATATATTAAGGTTCTTCGCAGGGTGACAGTTCGCAGCCAGGTCTACCAATATAGTGAAAAGAGGGTAGACCTGTTCTCCAGAGGCCAGGTCTACCAATATAGTGAAAAGAGGAGAGTAGACCTGTTCTCTGGAGGCCTGGTCTACCCCCTATAGAGGACAACATTTTCTGTACTGAAATCTGACTTGATTCTCTTTTCTCCTGTAATGTTTAAATTATTCTTAAAATATAGTTTGAGTATAGTTTAAAAGAGTTCATTCTGAGACTTTTACAAGGTTATGGAAATAAAAACACCAAGTTAATTCGATAGTCAAAAGTAGACTCACTCACAACTTTAATGCTACTTACTAGCTTTCTTCGCTCACGGGGTAGAATTTTTGCTCACAACACTGTGGAGCTGAGAGGGAACATTGTGTCCAAGTCCCTACAGAGCTGCCATTTGGTTTTGTTTTTTTACTGCTCTTTGGGAAAATCTGCTGCTGGTGCGCATGTGTACAGAGCAAGAGCACTATCTTTGCTTGCAATCCTGCTGAGAGGAAGAGAAAGCAAGGATGTGAAGAGGACTCTTCTACAACTCTGACCCTCGCTGTGACTTCATTCCTCACTGTGTTGTTCACTTCCTGGTGTCGTTTCCATCCGGGGCTCTCTTGGGCTGCTATCCATGGCCCTAGTCTTGAAGGCAATGAGGTCATAACTCTGCATCCCCCCCTTCCTGTCATATGACTGATGTCATGTAACTTCCTGTCACATGTTTGGAGCTCAGTGGGAAAGTAGCATCTAGAAATGAAACACAGGCCAGACCACTCAGAAGTAGGGGAAAATCTGTGGTAGGCCAGTGGTGAATGGATGGTCTTCAGCACTTGGTTAGAGGTTATAAAAGCACTTCTGTTGCATGATTGGAGCTACCATGTGGTTTCTCAGGTGTTTTCCTCCTCCAAAGACCAATCAATATTTGCCTCAAAAAAGCAGCTCCTGAAGGTGAAGGAATGATATAGATTGAGTACATGATACTGAGAAAGGAAGAGTTAACTCTTCGCCCTCCGCCATGTTCCTGAGTGGGCCCCATCCAGGCTTCTTGCAGCCTCAGTAGAGAAAAAAGATGGGCCTTTTTCTCTTCCCTGCTGGGGCAAAGACCAATGTCCCCTGTAAGCTTTGGAGTCTTGTGAGCAAAAATTCCACTTCGTGAGCTACTGGCATTAAAGCTGTAAGCGAGCGACTTGGCTGCTGCATGAATCAGTTTGCTCTGGAGCCATCCCTTCCTGAGCTAAGACAAAAAATCTGTGAGCCGGAGGCTAAAAAAACCTGTGAGCTAGCTCACACTAACTCAGCTTAGAGGGAACACTGGTTAAGACACCTGGAGTGGATCAGTTTTTGTTTTAAATCAGGGAAACAGCATGAAGCGAAATGTACTTGTGCCTTTCCCCAGCCCTGGGAATCCCATGTTGTTCTCCCCAGCTTTTTCTTGAAACCAAATTACACTTTGAGAGATCCCCAATGGCAGGTGTATTTTGTACCTAAATGCATGTTGAAGTACCCGAGAGGGACACTGCCAAGTACCTAGGGCAGTGATGGCGAACCTTTTAGAGACCGAGTGCCCAAACTGCAACCCAAAACCCACTTATTTAGCGCAAAGTGCCAACACGGCAATTTACCCTGAATACTGAGGTTTTACTTTAGAAAAAACAACTCATACATTAACTTAAGATGATCCAAACAAAGTAAGGAAAGCAATCCCAAATGTTTTCATTTAGTTAAAACCATTTGGCAGAGAATTCAACACTTTAATGATGGTCTGGGCCTGGCTGGGGCGATGGCACACGTGCCCACAGAGAGGACTCTGAGTGCCATCTCTGGCACCCGTGCCATAGGTTTGCCACCACTGACCTAGGGGGAGCTCTTATTTTGCTGCTGTTGTTTTTTTTGGCAGGGTTCAGATGGTATACCTGGTGCCGGAGGACAGTCTGGGGAAGCTGTGAGTATCTGTACTCCAAATTTGGAATCGCCCGGGCATTGTAAGGTGGAGCTGGTATAAATATTTGTGGAGTGCAGGGAGAGCCAGGGAGACTGGGAGTCAGGAGCCTTAGGAGACCCATGCAAATGTGCTGTGCCTGGAAATGTAAATGGGTAGGAAGCATAAACCTGCTAAGAACTGACACTCAGATTGCAGTTACACGCACCAGAAAAAACTGGAGGGGGGGGGAAGCGAGGCTATTTCTTCTGGAGGAATTTGACCCTCCATTGCACAATCACACCTCCCTTTGAAGCTGCGAGCGCAGTCCGTCAGTGTGTGATCAGGCGCAACTGCGAGTGAGCCGGGGCGGGGTTGTGCCTTTTCCCTCCCATGCGCTTAAATGAAGGATTGATGAATCACACCTCCGAGGGCTCCCTGTGGAGTTTGTGATGATGCACATACTGCGAAGGGGGGAAAAACAACAGCATGGAGTTGGGATGGCCTGATCAGACCGTCCTGATGCCATGAGAGCGCGCTGGAGCAATCAGACATGGAAAAGTCCATCCATGGCCCATCGCAACCTGTTTACCGGGTTCTCCCCGGTGTGTTTTAACTCTGCTTCTGCGGCAGAGGAGAACAGGTTGCCGACGGCTGCGGGGCACTTCCCAGATGTTGTCTGATTGCACCCTTTAAATCTCCCAGTATTCGCCCCTATGTCGGGTCTAATTGTACATATGATTGCAGCCTCAGATAACTTTGTTCATAAATGCCTTTGAGGTTAGGAAGCAATTTTTCTCCAGCCCAGTTTGGCTGGGGATCCTGGGAGTTTTTTGCCATCTTCTGGGCATGGAACCGGGGTCACTGGGTGTGTGTGTGGGGGAGGTATCTGTGAGTTTCCTGCATTGTGCAGGGGGTTGGACTAGATGACCCTAGAGGTTCTTTCCAACTCTATGATTCTATGGTAAGTGACAAAATGAGAAGATGACAGCGTTTGACAGTCTTTTCTGGTGGTATTGTCTGAGCTATCTATGGCTTAACTATCGTTGAGATTATATGATTGCCGTGTACTGTGTCGTTAAATGGTAAAGTGGTAACCATCTGCTGAAGACTCTAGTTTTGTATGTCTAAACACTAAATTGTAAAAAGAAAAGTTAGATGACGCCAACGTTCCAATATGCTGTTTACTGACTTTTAAAAAAATACCTGTCATTTTGTGGAAGAAGATGCCAAATCTTGGTACAGTGACTCCTGCAGATATCTATTTTAGTTTTGAAAGTATATACTATCTGTCTATTCACATACACGCAATGGGTTGGATCCAGCACAACATTTCTAAAGATGCATGAACTTTGTGGCTCTTGCTTCCTGTGACAGCCTGAAATGCCCCCCCCTAGTATTTTTAGGGGGGGATCCTTTCTGCCCCAGCAGTGGGCATTTCAGGCTACCATGGGAAGGGGGAGTTCCGAAGATTATGCTCTTTGGGTTTGAAACTCTTGCACCTGTGGAAACACTGTACTGTATCCCATATACAATGCTATACACAAAGAATTACCCTGCTGGAGCAAATCAAGAGACCATCAACTCTATCTCTGTGTCTCTATTTTTCTGTGTCAGTACTCAACTATAAAAGATGTTGAATATCTGTGCTCAAATCTTCCGTCTTTTAAAGCTTCCATTGGTGGCAACCACAAGGAGGAGCATTTAGACTGGATCTGCACTGTTGGAAGAGGGAGAGGAGGGTGGGATTGGACCCTTTTCTTCTATGATAAAAATGCACCCTTCCTTCTCTTGAGCTGCTTTAGTCTGATAAGGAAAAATTATGTGCCCGTAAATTTTCCCTAATGGGGGACATAGCAGCTCTGAAGGGAGTGGCATTTTGTCTGGGGAAATAATGCAGGGCAAAGGGCGAACCCCCAGCGTTGCATTCCAGGTCCAGAGCACACACCTGCAGGCACATGCGTCCTCTCTCAGGACTGCCATTAATGAACTTTTAAGGAGACAGGCAACATGATCGGATTGGCCATCCCCCTAAAACCTGTGACATCAGAGTGCTCATTTGGACTGTGTGCTAGTATCTGTAATCTAAGGTCTACGTCTGCCCCTTCAGCTTGTGCTTCTGCTGTAAGCACATTTTCAAAAACTATGCACTAAATGTCATACTGGGGGAAAGTCTTACTTCTCCTGGATAGTTATACCCATTGCTAAAGAAAACACTGAGATTTCTGCATGGGGATGGCTGTGCAAGTATCATGAGCACCTATTGGGTAGTATCCATGCGGTCAAAAGTAAACTAACCCCCCCCACCCCATTTTAAAAAAATCCTTCTCATCACACAGACTTTGCTACTATAATTTCAGCGAGTTTTTAAATTATGTATTTAGCTGATTTTCATGCTGATGGTACACTGATCCAACAGTGACCCAGTACTATATCTGCACGCTGGAAAGGAGATTGTATGCCCTGCACTGTGCAAGTCACTGTGTTGGATCGTTGTTCTAAAAGTCTTCTTTCTAAAATAATAATAATAATAATAATACCTTTTGATTTATTGATCGCTCAATCCGGCAGAGCTGCTGGCTCTGAATAATAATAATAATAATAATAATAATAATAATAATAATAATAATAATGCAAACAAATCAGTTGACCATCACCCTGCATTATGGCTTTCCTTCTCCTCATATTTTATACATGGGCAGGGTAATCCTAATGCTATTGATACTATAGGATGAAAATAGGATGGATCGGGCTCATGGAAGTCAAGGATAAAGTGGGAATTGGAGATTGCTTTTCTAGTATGTGGGAAAGGCCTTTAGAGGAATTGGCAGAACCGTCATGATGTCACTAACCCGTTTGTCTTTCTTCCTAGGGATTGCGTGGTTTGCCTGGTTCGCGAGGCCCTCCTGGTCCCCCAGGCCCACCGGTATGAATTTGCTTTCCTCTCCTTTACCTGTGCTTGAAAAGAACAGATGTGAACATGGTGTGTGGGCAGGGATTGCCTTGGGGTGTCTTGAGCTCTCTTCTATCTCTATAATTATGAGCAGGCGAAGCTGCAGAAATCGGGGGATAAACCAAAGCAATACGGGGCCAGAACTGACACAGCATTGCTGTGCAGAAAACACCAGAGCTTTGGCCTAGCAAATATGTCGAGTACTCTAACTAGCAGCAGCTCTCCAGGGTCTAAGGCAGAGGTCAAACCTAACCGACTACGTATAAGACAGATAGCCATGTTTGTCTGTCTGTAGCAATAGAAAAGAGCAAGTGTCCAGTAGCACCTTGAAGACTAATAAAATATGCGGCAGGGTGCTGCTGGACTCTAGCTCTTTTCTACTGCTACTACCTTTAATTTAAGGCTCCCCTGGAATTACAGCTCATCTTCAAACTACAGAGATCAGTTCCCCTGGAGAAAATAGATGCTTTGGAAGGCGGACTCTATGACACTGTACCCCACTGAGGTCCCTGTCCCCCCTGAGGCTCCATCCCCAAATCTCCAGGAGTTTCCCAACCTGGATTTTGTATAGGGTTGCCAGATCTCATCTTGGCTGGAATGGGGGACTTTGGGGGGCATTCCGGGGGTGGGGACATCGTGTGACGTCCCCGATGCAATGATGTCACCTGGAAGTGATGTCACCACGCCTGGGACGTTGCATAGGGGACGCTCTGGTATTTGGCAAACTCTATGGTTTTTTAGGCCTCAAAACCATAGAGTTTGCCCAAATACCCCATGTGATGTCCCTGACATGATGACATCACTTCTGGGCAATGTCATCACATCCTCTTTGGGGGTGGGTCTTCCCCCTCTGGCTGGCTGAAGCCCCGAAAATCAGGGGTTTCCTGTGCACCGCCATAGGAATGGCAACTCTACCCTGCCCCCCATCCTCCCCAGTGGCAGGGGGGACCTGGCAACCCTACTTTAACTTGAGATGCTGGGGACTGAGCCGAGACCTTCTGCATGCCGTGCAGATGCTCCTCTATGTAACTGTTCCTCCTGCCCAAATAGGAAGCATTATTACCTTCAAATGGCAAATTTAACAGACCCAAATTTCTATTTGAGCATGCCATTTGAATTTGGGGTGCTTTTTAGTAGTTTTGGTAGGGAAGTTTTTGAATTCTGCTTCTCAAGATAAAATTTATTTAAAGCTTAGTGTGGGTATCACACCCTTCATCCCTGTACACCCTATAAAGAGATCGGGAGCAGGCCACAGGTTTGGACTAGGGGTATGGGGGAAAAATAAAAATTGGCCTGATTCGAAGCGGGCGAGCCAGGGAAGGCCTGCAGAGCCCCCCCCCTTTCCAGGCAGCTGCTGAAATGCCGCCAAATTTCGGCAGTGGATTTCGGCAGCAGGCCAAATCAGATTAGAGAATCTGATTCGGCCCACGGCTGCCTGAAAGGGGGCCGAATGGGCTATTTTCGGGGGTGCATTCGGTTCAGATGAAGCGAATGCACATCCCTAGTTTGGACTTGCCATGCTCACTTATTTCATGTGCATGCCCCTCTCTTTTCCCTGGTTCACTATCTTTAACCAACCACAATTATTTATTGACTTATTGAGCGATTTCTACCTCCCTTTGTCCTTTTCCTACCATTTGTGGTGGTTTACACAATGCTGCTAACAAAACACTGGGACAAAACAATTGAAATGTAATCATCAAAATTCAGGCAGAAACAACCCACCCAATATACAAGTCCTGAAAACATTGCCAAAATTGGGGGGGGGGGGGGAAACAAACAGAGCAGCAGCCTCCATTACATGCTCCTTTAAACAAAAAAAGCTTTTATGTGCTTCCAAAACTGGGCCAATGAAGAAGCCCTCATAAGTCCTCCAAGGAGCTTTTCCAAAAGCATTCAAGCTGCAGCTGATAGATTTAAGGGAGGGGGTAGTCTGGAGGTGGCCAATGGGTTCATACCAGGAGAAATGGTCCTTTTAAACAGAGGCTGTTTCCAGGTGCCTATCTCTTTTTGTTCCTGCCAATACCTATGAACGTTGGCAGCAGAGCATCTTCATGGCACACTTTCCTTGCCTCAGTTCCTCCCACTGACATCCCCCACCAAAGTGGTTGGAGGGAGGGGCTTTTAAAATTTGCTGTTTGACAGATCATGATAGTGCAGTAGCATTTGTATTGCTACAATCTCGTTGTTCCCAGCTCTTGTTAAAAATGTAAGTCTCTAACCCTTTTTGTTGCTGAGTTGTAAGGGGCAAGGTATGTGCTACACATTTCCTCGTAGCAATGCAAAGGTATCAAGAGTTGTATTTTTTTAGTGAGAGGTGGTAAACTACTAGATGGTAGATACAGCATGTAAGCAGTTTATTGCTTTTACTGGTGTGTTTTTTTAAAAGCTCTCTAGCAGTTTATTGCAATTACTGGTGTGTTTTTTTTAAAGCTCTCTAGTATCATAATTGGAGCTGCGGTGGCTCAAGTGGTTAAGACGCTGAACTGCAGGCTGTGGAAGGTCGGTAGTTCAGCAGTTCGAGACCCGAGTGTGCCGCATGATGGAGTGAGCTCCCGTCTCTAGTTCCAGCTCCTGCCAACCTAGCAGTTCGAAAGCAAGCAATTGCAAGTAGATAAATAGGTACCACTTCAGTGGGAAGGTAACAGCATTCCGTGCACCTTGGTGTTTATTTATTTATTTATTTATTTTATTTTGTATCCTGCCCTCCAAAGGCTCAGGGTGGCTCCCAAAGGCTCAGGGCGGCTCACATGCTGGCCACATGATCACGGAAACATCTTCGGACAGCACTGGCTCCTCGGCTTTGAAACGGAGATGAGCACCGCAACCCTAGAGTTGGATTCGACTGGCTTTCGAGCAAGGGAACCTTTACCTTTTTAGTATCATGATGGGAAATGACAGCCTTGGGATCTGAGGCAAAGGAACATACATGAACATATATGAAGTTGCCTTATACTGAATCAGACCATTGGCCCATCAATTTATTTATTTATTTATTTATTTATTTATTTATGGATTGTATCCTAAAACAACAAAAAATCTAGAAACATTAAATCATCAACACAGTAAAGACAATCTTAAGATTTAAAATAACTAATCTAATCAAGGCCAGTATTATCATACTGAAGACTGACAGCGGCTCTCCAGGGTCTCAGGCAGAGGTCTTTCACATCACCTGCTACTTGGTCTCTTTAACTGGAGATGGCGGGGATTGAACCTGGGACCTTCTGCGTGCCAAGCAGAGGCTCTACCACTGAGCCACAACCTCTCCTTCAAGGTTGGTGGGCCCTGCAAAAATGCACACCTTCCCATCTACACGACATCCCAAGATGCTTTGACTGTGATCTTTTTTTAAAAAGTATCGAACCAGGTATAGGAAGAATTGCAGCAAATCTGTAGTGGCGGAGGAGGGCAGGGGCAAAGAAACAGAACGAATAGAGGATGACATGGCCAAAAGCTACTTCCATAAATGTGTTATTTGTAGAAATTTCTATTTGATGGGTATTTTTTTTCCCCATCCCACAGGGTGCCAGTGGTATCGATGGGGCCCCTGGACCCAAAGGCAATCTGGTAAGAGACCGCAGACAGTAGGGGACTCTCCATGAGATGTGGTGGAGGGCAAGAGAGGATATGCGCATGCCATGAGTCAGACAAACATATGTGCTAAAGGAAGATTATGGATGTAACAAAAATGTACTTATACCAGGATGGTGTCTATGCCATGTGCCACTTGCCCTCCGGCATGGTAGACATTATACGCTTGGTGTTGGGTGATCGTGAGATATTGAAAAAAATGGTATTTAGCAGAGATAAGATAGTCCAGCAGAGCCAGACTAAAATAATTCAGACTGAGAGTCCATGTGTGATTAAAATATAAAGTTTTTACTAAATTCTAGCATGGGAAGGGTAACTGGGATGAAAATAACAACAGAGCATAATTGGCTACATCCTTACTCTACAAAGACAAAACTAGAAGAGAGGAGAGAGTATGGCTACTCTTCTTCTTCTTCTTCTTCAGAACACCAAAGAAAGACGGGAAGAGAAACCATAAAATGGTAATACACCTTGACACTTTAGTCCCAATTAAATTCCTAGATCAGGGAGAAAATTCCCGGGCTTTCTACATCTAAAGAACATTGGTTACATGAGAAACATGTGACTTCCTGTGAGTAACATAAACAAACATTTAACCCCAGATATACTGAGTGTTTTCCACTTGTAATACCCAACACTTGGACTTTAAAAAAGCTTTTTGACAAGACACCTCAGCAAAAACTCCTGAGCAAGCTTAGCAGTCATGGGGTAAGAGGACGGGTCCTCCTAGGGATTAAAGACTGGCTGAACTACAGGAAAGATAGTAGGAACGAGTGGACAGTTCTCTCAGTGGAGGGAAGTAAGCAGCGGTGTCCCACACAGATTGGTATTAGAACCGGTGCTATTTGGTTTGTTCATAAATGATCTGGAACTGGAGGTGAGCCAGGCCCATAGCTGGGATTTTTTGTTTTGTGGGGCAATTTTTTTTCTTATGGGGCACCCATTATGCATCCTTCCCTCCCACTCTCTTGAGGGGGAAAAAACCACATTGTTGGTATTTTTAAACTCTGATTCCAGACTTGGGATCCCCAGGTCCCACCAGGAGTCTGGCATCCCTCCAAGACTGGCGGTGGGGCTTGCTTTGGCTGCCGAGGATTCCATAAAGATACAGAGAGCTGGGGGGGGCTGCACAAGGCTTGCCGCGGCCCCTGGCAGTGGCGGCGAGTGCAAGAAATAAGTCAGGAGGCCTGGTCAGGGTAGTAAGTTGGGGGGCCCTGCGTGGGCCCTGAAATGCCCCACTTCGGCTACGGGCCTGAGCTGAGCAGTGTAGTGGCCAAGTTTGCAGATGACACAAAATTATTCAGCATGGTGAAAACCAAGGCTGAGGATCTCTACAGACTGGTAAAGTTGGCAGTGATGTGGCAGATGAAGTTCAGTGTTGGTAAGTGTAAGGTAATGCACATTAGAACAAAAAATCCCAACTGTAAGAATAACTTTAAGTATGCTTAGACTGAAAGGGAAAGTTCCGGCTGCCCCGCTTCCGGCCCTCATTTAGCCAGGAGGAGGCAGGAGAAGAGGGAGGGTAAGTTGCTTCCTCCCTGCCTCTCCCCACCCCTGCCTGCCTGGGGCCAGGGAGGGCTTTTGCGGGGCTTCCTTGCACTCCCGCCGGCCTTGCAGGTCCACCGCCGGGCCCCTCAGTGGAGCTGCAAGGCCGGCGCCGGCGGCCGGGACTGTTGGAACGGGGTGTGTGGCCTTATGACACAGTTCCGGTGATGTCAGCGGGTGTGGCCTTATGACACACTTCCGGTGATGTCAGGGGGTGTGGCATATGCTAATGAGTTATGCTAATGAGTCCCCCTAGCTCTTTTTCTACGAAACGACCCCTGGAAAGATCAATGAAAATGTCAACCCTGTGTACTGCAACAGGGAAAAGGCAAAGTCTATGCTCAGCATTATTAGGAAAGGAAAGGAAAAGAAAACAGCCAATATTATAATGCCCCTGTATAGATCTGTGCTGTGGCCACATTTGAAATCCTGTGTGCAGTTCTGGTCACAGTATCTCAAAAAGGACATCGCAGAGCTGGGAAAAGTACAGAAGAAGGCAACCAAAATGTTTAAACTCTTCCTATGAAGAAAGGCTGAAGAGTCTTGAATTTTTCAGTTTAGAAAAGAGACAACTAAGGAGGGACATGACCAATGCTCCCTCTAAGCTGTGGAGTCTTGTGAGCAAAAATTCTACTGTGTGAGCTACTGGCATTGAAGTTGTGAGCGAGCGATTTGGCTGCTGCATAAAACAGTTGGCTCTGGAGCCATCCTTCCCAAGCTGAGACAAAAATGTGTGAGCCGGAGGCTAAAAAACGGTGAGCTGGCTCACACTGATGCAGCTTAGAGGGAACACTGGACATGACAAAGGTTTATACAATTATGCACGGGATAGACAGAGTTGACAGAACCCCCCCCCCCCCAAAAAAAAAAAACACAGACCCTGA